CATAACCTACTGTATACCTAGCATAGACTTGTTGTTGCATAACCTACTGTATACCTAGCATAGACTTGTTGTTGCATAACCTACTGTATACGTAGCATAGACTTGTTGCATAACCTACTGTATACGTAGCATAGACTTGTTGCATAACCTACTGTATACGTAGCATAGACTTCTTGTCTATTATTTACCAATAATTGTGTTTATAAAATAATATAAACACAATTGAAACATATTACTTTAGATGTTATACTATTGACAATATTTTTTATAAGGTAAACATTTTGTAATGTCTTTCAGTGTAGCTTTTGTAAATACTTAATGAAGAAAGGTTATTGTAGAAGTATATCTCAGTTAAGGAAGGTTATTGTAGAAGTATATCTCAGTTAAGAAAGATTACTGTAGAAGTATATCCCAGTTATAGAAGGTTACTGTAGAAGTATATCTCAGTTAAGGAAGATTACTGTAGAAGTATATCCCAGTTAAGGGAGGTTACTGTAGAAGTATATCCCAGTTAAGGAAGGTTACTGTATAAATATATCCCAGTTAAGAAAGGTTACTGTATAAATATATCCCAGTTAAGAAAGAACCTTAACTGGGATATATTTCTACAGTAACCTTTCTTAACTGTGATATATTTCTACAGTAACCTTCCTTAACTGGGATATATTTATACAGTAACCTTCCTTAACTGGTATATATTTATACAGTAACCTTCTATAACTGGGATATATTTCTACAGTAAAAGGTTACTGTAGAAATATATCACAGTTAAGAAAGGTTACTGTATAAATATATCCCAGTTAAGGAAGGTTACTGTAGAAATATATCCCAGTTAAGAAAGGTTACTGTATAAATGTTATAGAAGGTTACTGTAGAAATATATCCCAGTTCTTTAAAAACACTTTCTTTTTTTAGATGATGACAATCCTCCAGTGTCTTTTGTGAAATTTTCACCAAATGGAAAATACATTCTTGCAGCAACACTAGATAAGTAAGTAGAATGTGTTCAATAATGTGATGAGTAAACTAAATATTTATACTATTCTGACAGTTTATTTTTTATTAAATTGGCTATAACGTGCATTTCAAAGGACAGATTCTAGCGTAAGACCGGATCTTTTAGGCCCACACATACAGACAGTAACTGGCTGTTAGTTAATGATTCATTTTTTATTTTCCTCACTGGATAGAATTTAGCGTTGGGTTAAAACTACGGGATTAAAATGTGTTTATAGCATGAGATAAGTTTCTCTCTGTTCATAGCATACTTAAACTGTGGGATTAAAAAATTGAAGGTTTTAAATTTTTGTTTTTAGCACACTTACCTCTTTCGAGACCAGTGTGATATCACTGATATCCACCTGTTGTTTTCTGTTCCGACAGTGAAAATACTTAATTGAATATAACCTAGAACAAACTTTCCCCATACTGTCTAATTAATATAATTTCATTTAGTATTTACTTATATTTTTATGTTGTCAAGTACTGTTTTGAAACAAAAACAAAAATTATCTTAAGACATTCTGTTTTCTTATCACCGATCCGTTTTATGTATCCAGTCAGGTTTAACTTGTTTGATAGTCATCAGTGTTTATTTTGATACTTTATTTATCTGACTGACAGTCAACTTCCCTCTGTAAGTTGTACAAACCCAGTACGACAGACAAAGATTTACTGCCGAACAGTGACCTCACCTTTCTATATGGTAGCACTTTCTATCTAATAATTGTTGTTTGTTCTTAGTGTATTCAATAAAAAGGTTTTGTGTCATTCAGATAATTTGTGGTCGCAGATCTTATAACAATACCATACTTGCTAAACCCCCAGTATCGTTACCAGATGTCATACTGACATATTCCTGTAGCTTTCTTGTGGATGTTACAGCCATGTTCCTGTAACTTTCTAGTGGACGCTACAGACATATTCCTGTAACTTTCTAGTGGACGTTACAGACATATCCCTGTAATTTTGTAGTGGACGTTACAGACATATCCCTGTAACTTTGTAGTGGTCGTTACAGACATACCCCTGTAGCTTTCTAGTGGATGTTACAGCCATGTTCCTGTAACTTTCTAGTGGACGCTACAGACATATCCCTGTAACTTTCTAGTGGACGTTACAGACATCTCCCTGTAACTTTGTAGTGGATGCTACAGACATATCCCTGTATCTTTCTAGTGGATGCTACAGACATATCCCTGTAACTTGCTAGTGGATGCTACAGACATATCCCTGTAGCTTTCTAGTGGATGCTACAGCCATGTTCCTGTAACTTTCTAGTGGACGCTATAGACATATCCCTGTATCTTTCTAGTGGACGTTACAGACATATCCCTGTAACTTTGTAGTGGACATTACAGACATATTCCTGTAGCTTTCTAGTGGACGTTACAGACATATCCCTGTAACTTTGTAGTGGACATTACAGACATATTCCTGTAGCTTTCTAGTGGACATTACAGACATATCCCTGTAACTTTCTAGTGGACGTTAGACATGTTCCTGTAACTTTGTAGTGGACGTTACAGACATATCCCTGTAACTTTGTAGTGGATGTTACAGACATATCCCTGTTACTTTGTAGTGGACATTACAGACATATCCCTGTTACTTTGTAGTGGACGTTACAGACATATCCCTGGAAAGTTACAGGGATATGTCTGTGAAGTCCACTACAAAGTTAGTCTGTAACATCCACTAAAAAGTTACAGGGATATGTCTGTATCATCCACTAGAAAGTTACAGGGATATGTCTGTGAAGTCCACTACAAAGTTACAGGGATATGTCTGTAATGTCCACTACAAAGTAACAGGGATATGTCTGTAATGTCCACTACAAAGTAACAGGGATATGTCTGTAACATCCACTATCGTGACCTTTATGAACAACGTAACTAATTTGCATGTGGAACTTTGGTATGTACATTATGTAGTGTTAAGGCTTACCTCCTTATATTTCCAACAATTATTGGCTTTATTCCATGTTCTTTTTTTTCAAGTCTACGTTTCTTAGTACCCATCTTGGCAGGGCACTAAATGTGGGGTGAATCAGTAATTTCACAGTTGGACGTACAAAAATATAGCTAACTGAAATCTCGTTATAAGAAATCGGTATAAGTTTAGAATCTGTGTGATTTTTACAGGTAACTGGAGACACGACAGAAATGACCATTTGAATATTTTTTATTCATGAAATAAACAGTATAATGCTAAGATATAAATTTTCCAATATTTTTGTGTGAAAGAAATGTTGAAATAGAATTATAATTATGTATTCCTATTAAGTTTTTCTAGTTTATTTTTATTTGCAACCGTGAGCTTGGAGTATTCTTTATGTTTACTCGTCAGGAATATATTAAAGTACTGGATTGGAAAAAAAAAAGATTTATGAAGTGACTTTCCCTCTTTGCTTGTATCATAATTAAACTTGAGACTAAAGAGGGAAGTATTTTTAAACTTGTGACTAAAGAGGGAGGTAGTTTTAAACTTGTGACTAAAGAGGGAGGTAGTTTTAAACTTGTGACTAAAGAGGGAGGTAGTTTTAAACTTGTGACTAAAGAGGGAAGTATTTTAAACTTGTGACTAAAGAGGGAGGTAGTTTTAAACTTGATACTAAAGAGGGAGGTAGTTTTAAACTTGATACTAAAGAGGGAAGTATTTTTAAACTTGATACTAAAGAGGGAAGTATTTTTAAACTTGAGAAAAATACTTCCCTCTTTAGTATCAAGTTTAAAAATACTTCCCTCTTTAGTATCAAGTTTAAAAATACTTCCCTCTTTAGTAAACTTGTGACTAAAGAGGGAAGTATTTTTAAATATGATATTAAAGAGGGAAGTATTTTTAATGTGAATTATTTTTTCTCTTTGTTTGTAGCACACTTAAGCTTTGGGATTATAGCAAAGGAAAGGTGAGATGGACTGTTTAATATTTGTTGAAAAATAAATTAATCTAAGGTGTAGCCACTGATGAATTAAATAGTAACATAATACTGGTTTACCCTTTGTTAAAAAATAAATTAATCTAAGGTGTAGCCACTGATGAATTAAATAGTAACATAATACTGGTTTACCCTTTGTTAAAAAATAAATTAATCTAAGTGTAGCCACTGATGGATTAAATAGTTACATAATACTGGTTTACCCTTTGTTAAGAAATAAATCAATCTAAGGTGTAGCCACTGATGAATTTAAGAGTACTTGTTTACCTAAGAATAAAATATAAAAAGAACAAGAAGCAGATCAAAAATAGAGCAATTAATCATTATAACAGAAAATAAATAGATTCATAGTTTCAGCTTTTGAGACCTAGTTTTGTTTCAGTGGAAAGATGGCATCCTGAATTTTTGTTTGTGTGCAAGTTGTTTTCAAACAGACGTACCTTTTTTAAAGTGTCTAAGCTAATTTTTGAGCCTAAAGTTTACTTCTGAATGTGGAATTGTATCTTTAAACAGCGTGTTAGGTGTTTTGTACTTAGTATATTGTGATTTAGTCTGGATCTGATGTATAGACAGGGAAAGTTATGATTCTAAGAAGCTAGACAGGTAATTGATAGTACTCGGGTAAGAAGTCTTGATAATGCACTTTTTTGTTGTTTGTTCTAGGAGATAAGTGTCTCGTTTGTACATCATGACCTAAACTTAAAGTTGTTTTAATTTTTCAGTGTTTGAAGACATATACGGGCCATAAAAATGAAAAATACTGTGTTTTTGCAAACTTTTCTGTTACGGGAGGCAAGGTATGGCAAATATATGTTTATTTATAGTTGTAAGTGGATCTTTTCTGCCATTTTACATATGATTTTTTTGTTTTTAGTTTAGTGTAAAATTGATCAAGAACTTTGTAAAGTTTGTGTTAAAATTGATGTGATAAAAATTCAGTGTCATTAATGGTCTGACATTCATAACACACTGTTTCATTTAATAAATAGTCCTACATATGTTAAAATTAACGTGATGAAAAATACAGTGTCATTAATGGTCTAACATTCATAACACTGTTTCATTTAATAAATGGTCTGATGAATGTTAAAATTGATGTGATGAAAAATACAGTGTCATTAATTGTCTGACATTCATAACACACTGTTTCATTTAATAAATAGTCCTACGTATGTTAAAATTGACGTGATGAAAAATATAGTGTCGTTAATGGTCTGACATTCATAACACACTGTTTCATTTAATAAATGGTCCTACGTATGTTAAAATTGACGTGATGAAAAATACAGTGTCGTTAATGGTCTGACATTCATAACACACTGTTTCATTTAATAAATAGTCCTACGTATGTTAAAATTGACGTGATGAAAAATATAGTGTCGTTAATGGTGTAACATACATAACATACTGTTTCATTTAATAAATGGTCTGACAAATGAACCAAGTTTGTAAAACTAGCAACTTGATGAGAATTGGAGACTAGTGTGAAAATACTTTTATACTAAAGATTTGGTAGATTTTCTAAACATGTGTTACAGTGATTTGTATTCCTTCACACAGTGGATCGTGTCAGGGTCGGAAGACAACATGGTGTACATTTGGAACCTGCAGACTAAAGAAGTAGTACAAAAACTTCAAGGCCATACGGGTTAGTTTACGTGTAGATTATCAGTGACTTTTTACCTACTGGCTATTCCTAAGTTTAGTTTTACCATTGAACTTTCACTCTCGATACTGGAAGGTGTTACAAACACAACTCGTAACTTAGTCGTCCTTACAGATTTCAGTTACTTAAGACAAAATACAGTACTATACAAGAGAAAATCTAATTTTATCCATTACGTATGTTTTGTGTCCATTACCTTGTCATTCTCAAAAAAAAAAAACTTGATTGTTTAAAGCCTTCATTGGTTTTACAAATCATAGCTGGTAGGAAGTTTTTGATCTTGTTAGCATAGATTATCTTCAGCTCCAAACTAAGCTCAGATTTCAGAACTTTATATACGGAAATATTCACTTCAATTGGTCTAGAGGAAACTTAATATAAAGTTATTTTTGTAGAAATGTTATTTTTTAAAGTTTGCATGCCACTGACCACTTCTGTTCCAACTATACTTTTCTTACAATACCCCCAAACATCTAAAACTTTTGTTCAGTCAATTTTTATGTTTATTGCCTGGTAAACAGTAGTTGTTTAAAAGTAACACATTATCTTTACTTTTTACAGTAACATCGATAGTGTTATCCAAAGTCATTCGTTAATTTTAAGCCAGTTTGTAAAAAATACTTTAATAACATTTCTTAGGTGATTTTTTTGTTACTGTTATCACTGCAGTAGTCAACATTTCAACTGTCACTAACCTCTACTGTGGAACAAGTGGTATTCACATGGCTGGTAATATGACTACTGCAGTGATAACAGTAACAAAAAAATCACCTAAGAAATGTTATTAAAGTATTTTTTACAAACTGGCTTAAAATTAACGAATGACTTTGGATAACACTATCGATGTTACTGTAAAAAGTAAAGATAATGTGTTACTTT